AACAACTTAAATAGACCTATAACCTTCAGTGAAATAGAATCAGTCATCGAAAGCCTTCCAAACAAAAAAAAGTCCAGGGCCAGATGGATTCAGTGCAGAATTCTACCATTTAAGGAAGAACTAATACCACTACTCCTCTAACTGTTCCACAAAATAGAAACAGAAGGTTCATTGTCACACTCTTTTTATGAGGCCACAATAACCTTGATACACAAGCCTCAAAAAGACAAAACTAAGAAGGAAAACTGCAGACCAATTTCCCTGACGAACATTGTTGCAAAAATACTCAATAAAATACTGGCAAACCGAATTCAAGGATACATCAGACAAAACAGCAAAAGTTATACAGTGGTTTGAAGACAGCATCTTAAACAAATGGTGCTGCCACAATTGGATAGGGGTGTTTAGAAGACTGCAGATAGACTCATGTCTGTCACCATGCACAAAACTCAAGTCCAAATGGATCAAAGACCTCAACATCAACCCAGCCACATTGAACCTCTTAGAAGAGAAAGTAAGAGGTACCCTTGAACAAATTGGTATGGGAGACAATGTCCTGACCATAACTCCAGGGGCACAGGAACTATGAGAAACAATTAATAAATAGGACCTCTTCAAACTTAGAAGCTTCTGTAAGGCAAAGGACACAGTAGAGAAAACAAAATGGCAGCCCACCAACTGGGAAAAGATTTTCACTAATCCTATATCTGACAAAGGGATGATCTCCAAAATATACAAAGAATTCAAGAAACTAGTCAGGAAAACACCAAATAACCCTGTTAAAAATGGGGTACAGAACTGAAGAAATTATTCCCAATAGAGGAAATCATAAAGGCTGGAAGACACTTAAGAAAATGCTCCATATCCTCAGCTATCAGGGAAATGCAAATCAAAACAACTTTGAGATACCATCTTACTCCTGACAGAATGCCTAAAATTAGAAACACCAATGATGACTCATGTAGGAGAGGATGTGGAGAAAGCAGAACACTCCTCCACTGCTGGTGGGAGTGCAAACTCATACAGCAATTTTGGAGATTAGTATGGCAGTTCCTCAGGAAAATGGGAACTACTTTACCACAGGACCCAGCAATCCCCCTCTTAGGCATATTCCCAAATGATCCACATCCATGCAAAAAAGAAATCTGTTCAACTATGTTCATAGCAGCACTATTTGTAATAGCAAGAACCTGGAAGCTACCTAGATGCCCATCAAATGAATTATGGTTAATGAAGATATGGCACATCTACAAAATGGAATACTACTCTGCACAAAAAAATAATGATATCTTGAATTTTGCAGGCAAGTGAATGGCACTTGAGGAAACCATCCTGAATGAGGTAACCCAGTCACAAAAAGAGGAGCAGAGTATGTACTCACTCATATATGGATTTTAGACCTAGATCAAAGGATCCCCAGCCTATAATTCACACCACCAGAGGAAATAGGTACAAGGTGTATTCTAAGAGATTCATATAAAGTTGTTACAGAACCGGGAAGGGACAAGACCCCCACAGCTAAGGGGAAGTGGGGGGACAGCAAATGCAGAGAGAAGTAGGATAAAGTGATGGGGAGGAAAGTAAAACATGTGCAACCAGGAAGATTGAGCCTGGTTAAGAATAGAATACAGGATAGCGAAAGAGACAAGAGAGAGACAGAACATAATAGAGGGAACCAAAATTGGTTTGAAGATGAAATTGAACACCAAGAATGGCCTAGAGAACTACAAGACTGCTGCCAACTAACAATTTGAGCTTTTGTGGAAAGTCGACCATAAATGCCCTTCCCAGAGTGTAAGATCAACAAAGAACTTATCCATGGAGCCCTCAACTAATGCCTGTTGGAAACAGGAGCAAACACCCATATACAAACACTGAGTTGAAGTAGAACCCAGATTCAGATGGAGAGGACAAGACCAGGTGGCAGAAACACATAGAGACAGCTTTCCTGAACAAGGAGGAACTTACAGGCCACCAGACTGATAGCTGGGAAGCCAGCATGGGATTGACTCAGGCTCCCCTGAATATGGGACTCAGGCAGAAGGACTGAGCAGTCTAAGGGACCTCACAGTGGAGCCAGGATATATCCCTGGTGCACAAAAGGAGTTTGCGAACACCCCCCCCCCATGGAGGCATAACTCCCTAATCCCTACTTCACATGACCTTTCAGATCTACATGACCCCAACTGGATGGCATTCCCCTACATATGGAATTGGGGTGGGGGTATGGGATGGGATGGTGGTTAGAGTGCATGTGAGAAGTCAGAGAGAGTAAAAGGGAAGGAAGGAGAAAGGGAAGAAAGGAAGGAGGGAGGGAAGGAAAGAGAACTGGGATCAACATGTCAAATAATAAATTAAATTTAAAAAAAATGCTTTGACTCCAAAATTTATGTTCAAGGACAAGTTACTGGGGAAAAGGATTTCTATTTTTGTTTCCACAGAAAATGAATAGATGTGGATTCCTTCCAGACTAATGTGGTTTGATCAAGCCAGACCACCTGAAACAGAGTACCAGGTGATCCTACATTCAAAACAGCTGGACAAAGCATCCTTACAGACTACAGCTAGGATTTCTGAATCTTCTTCGAATCCCCAATGACAGAACCCCTTACTAGCAGGAATTAGCTTGGAAAGAATGACACCCAAATTCCCAAATATTGTCTATAAATGTTTGTTTTCATTTAAATGGACTTGGTTATATAAAATAACTTAAAAAAAACTAATTCAACCAAATATGAGATTATCTAAACAAAAACTTTCTAAAAGAAGAAAATCAGATAGATGAGGAATACTTAAGAAAATTCTCAAGAACCTTAGTCACAAAAAATGAAATTCAAAATTATTTTCTTTAGTTCATAAGTATCATTTTTCCTGTTTAAATATTGATCCCTGTTCCCTCTTCCTCCCTCCCTCCCTCCCTCCCTTTCTCCCATGCCCCTGCCCCCTTGAACCCTCCCCAATCTGCACAGGGAGGGTGATGCTTCTTGGGGATTATCAAAATCTGTTAAGTCATTTGGAGTAGGGTCCAGGTCCTCCCACTCTCCTCCCCCCTCCACTGCCCCTAGAATAAGGGAGTATCCCTCCATGAGGAATGTGCTCCCGAAGTCCTTTTGTGTACTAGGGATACATCCTGATTCCACTTTCAGAGGTCCCTTAGTCTACCCAGGCCTTCTACCTGAGAACCATATTCAGGGGTTCTGAGTCAGTATAATGCTGGTTTCCCAGCTATCAGTCTGGGATCCTATTAGCTCCCCCTTGTTCCGGTCAGCCATCTCTGTGGGTTTTTGTAGTCTGGTCTTGACCCCTTTTATTATCACTCCTCTATTTCTGCAACTGGATTCCAGGAGTTTGACTCAGTATCTTGCTGAGAGTGTCTGCTTCTGTTTCCATCAGGTACTAGATGAGGGCTCTATTATGGCATATAAGATAGTTATCAATCTCATCAGGGAAGGACATATAAGTTAGCATTTCCACTATTGCTTAGATTGTTAGTTGGGGTCATTCCCTCCTATATCCTGGCCTGGATAGCACAGTCCTAGTACTCTGCTCCATACACCACCCAGTGCCTGCTTTTTCCCCACCATTTGTCTACTGGGCCTACTACTCTGAGTAAGCATTGGGCTAGAGTGCAAGTCCAAAAAGCCCTCAAATTTATTTGAGATTTTATCTTATACTTGTTAGAAGAGTGAAGATGAAGAACGCATATGATAGCTTATATTGATTTGTATATAGAGGAAGAACACTCATCTGAAAATCTGTACAGCCAGTATAAAAAAATCAATGTAATATTTTCTAGGAAGTTGAAAATCAATTTAGTTATATTACTTTTTTGAATATACCCAAAAGATGCTTCATATTACTACAGAGTGAAATCTGTTCAAACTTGTTCATTACTACTATGTTCATAATAGAGAGACATTGGAAACAACATAATTCAACATAACAATGGATACATAAAAATGTGATACATTCATACAATAGAGTATTACTCAGCCATTTAAACAGTGAAATTGTGCAATTCATAGGTAAATGGATGGGACTAGGAAAAAAAAATATATCCATAGTGAAGCATCCCAAATCCATAAAGATAAATGTAGTATGTGCACACTTAGATATGAGTATTAATGTTAAATCAATGATAATAAAGCTACAATCTGTAGAACCACAGAGACTATGTATAATGTAAGAGATTGGGTGCCAAAATGGATTTGCTTAGGAAAGGGAAATGGGATAGCTCATTGTCAATTGACGGAAAGTGGTGGATTGGAAGGACAAGGTGGAGTTAATAAAATAGGTTGACAAGAGAGGGAACATTAAGAGTTACAGCTGAAGTAAAGGGTCATTTGAAGGATAATATTAAATCACCAAAATCACCAAATTCATGAAATTTCTGGAGAAAAAGTACCAACTGGCCTTTCTCAGACTTTGTAGCCAGGATGACAGAAGCAGCAGAACGCATTTTCGGGGATACTGAACAAGTCATGCCCCTGCTAGAACAATTGATTTTTGAACAAGCTACCCAAGAATGCCACACTGCTATAGCACCTCGAAAAAATAAGGGGCTACAGCATTGGCTGAGGGTATGTAGGGAGATAGGGGGGCCTCTGAGCAATACAGGTTTAGCGGTGGCAATTATCCAGGCGCAAAGGCAAAACAAAAAACCTCCCGGTAAGACATGTTTTGGATGTGGAAAACCAGGGCACATAAAAAAGGACCGTAAAATGTCCAACGCCCCTAGGGTGAGCCTCTGCACCCAATGTGGCAAAGGCTACCATCGGGTGGGCGGAGCAATGCAGATCTGTTAGAGACATTAAAGGGAGACTCGTCCCTCCGACAGAGGCTCCGACCCTTGAGGTGTCAAAAAACTGGCAGATGGGCCCTTGGTCCCAGGGCCCTCGAAGATACGGGAACCGATTTGTCAAATCTCTGGAAGGGAACCAGGAGAGTGGCCAAGCAGACCCATCAGAATGGACCTGCGTGCTGCTTCCTCAATCTTACTAATGCCCCAAATGGGTATTCAGCCCGTGCCTTTAGAATCAATTATTCTCCCTTCAGGCACTATGGGATTGATCCTTGGGTGAGGCTCCCTTGTAGCACGGGGGCTCATAGTACATCCAGGAATTGTGGATGATGCCCACACCCCTGAGATACAGGCACTATGCTCAAGCCCTACCGGGGTTTTCTCCATCAGTCAGGGAGACAGGATTGCACAATTGCTGCTCCTACCTCATGATAACCAACATGGGCCCATTGATGGTGTCCCAAAACAAATGGGGTCCTCAGGAACAGGCTCTGCCTATTTGGTCATGTCTTTAAATAGTAGGCCAAAATCTACACTTTGGATAAATGAAAAGAAATTTGAAGGCGTTTTGGACACGGGGGCTGATAAGAGCATTGTCTCCACCTACTGGTGGCCGAAGACATGGCCAATGGTGGAATCGTCACACTCTTTACAGGGTCTTGGCTATAAGTCCTGCCCCACTATCAGTGCCGCCCCCCTTAGCTGGAGAACCCAGGAGGGTCAAAAAAGGGCAATTTACTCCTTATGTATTACCGATGCCTGTGAATCTATGGGGACGAGATGTCATGCAAGACATGGGACTGATGCTGACAAACGAATATTCACCACAGACTCAGGGGATCATGGGCAAGATGGGATATCGGCAGGGCAACGGTTTGGGCCGCTATGAACAGGGGCGCCTTGAGCCCGTTGCTCCTAACCCCAATAGAAATAGACAGGGTCTGGGTTTTTCCTAGGCGCCACTGAGGCAGCATGACCCATACCTTGGAAAACGGAGGATCCGGTATGGGTTCCTCAGTGGCCGCTTACCTCTGAAAAATTACAAGCGGTGAATATGCTTATAGAGGAGCAATTAAAATTAGGCCATATTGAGGCCTCCACCTCACCATGGAATACTCCAATTTTTGTAATAAAAAAGAAATCTGGAAAATGGCGCTTGCTTCATGATTTATGCACTATTAATGAGCAAATGCAGCTTTTTGGCCCCATACAACGCGGTCTATTGGTGCTTACCACACTTCCCAAATTTTGGCCGCTATTGATTGTGGATATTAAGGATTGTTTTTTTCCCATACCTTTACATGAGCATGACAGACCCAGATTTGCCTTTACTTTACCATCTATAAATCATGCTGAACCGGACAAGAGGTTTCAGTGGAAGGTGTTACCACAAGGCATGGCAAACAGTCCAACCATCTGTCACCTGTATGTGTATGAAGCCTTGGCCCCAGTTAAAAGACAATTCCCTTCTCTGATGCTGTTTCATTATATGGATGGCATCTTGCTATGTCATAAAGATTTTGATCTTTTAAAACTGGCATATACTGTATAGTTGCAAGCATTGGAGAAGAGAGGCCTATATATAGCCACAGATAAAGTACAAATCTCGGATACTGGACATTTTTTAGGCTCCAAGATCTTTCCAGATAAGATTGTGCCGCAGAGATTAGAAATCAGAAAGGATTATCTACATACTCTTAATGATTTTCAAAAGTTATTGGGGGACATAAATTGGCTCAGACCTTTTCTAAAAATTCCCTCCGCCGAGCTTAAGCCTTTGTTTGATGTGTTGGAGGGAGATAGCCACATTGCATCCCCAAGAGAATTGACTCCCACCGCAAGACAGGCTTTACTAAAGGTGGAAGCAGCCATACAGATGGCTCAATTGTCATGCATAGAGGAAAATAAACCGATTACTCTATGCGTGTTCAGGACAAAAGGGCTTCCGACCGCAGTATTAGGGCAACAAGGTCCTTTATTATGGATACACCCTAATGCTTCTCCCATGAAAGTTATTGATTGGTACCCAGACGCGGTGGCCCAACTGGCCATGAGAGGATTAAAGGCCTCCCTCATGCACTTCGGCATTGAACCTAATTTGCTGATTGTACCCTATAATGCTGTACAGGTTGCCACCCTTGCCGCTACTTCAAATGATTGGGCTATTTTGGTCACAACCTTTGTTGGAAAGATAGACAATCATTATCCTAAACATCCACTTTTACAATTTGCCCTTAACCAGCCTATGATTTTTCCAAAAATTACCTCAAGTCATCCTATTAAAAATGGACTGGTGGTGTATACTGATGGGTCTAAGACAGGATTGGGAGCTTTTGTGGTGGAGGGCAAAATATACTCTAAACAATTTCAGGAAACATCGCCTCAAGTGGTGGAATGCATGGTAGTTTTGGAAGTACTACAAAGGTTTCAGGGTCCATTGAACATAGTGTCAGATTCATCTTATGTAGTTAACGCTGTAAAATTGTTAGAGACGGCTGGAATTATAAAAATGACCAGCAAGGTTGCAATCATTTTTCTGGACATCCAAATTTGTCTGCTTGCTAGAGGGCAGCCCTTCTTTATTACTCACATAAGGGCACATTCCGGGCTACCAGGACCCATGGCCTTAGGTAATGATTTGGCTGACAAAGCGACTAGATTGGTTGCCATGGTTCTAGCCCCGCCACTAGAGGCTGCCAAGGAATTTCACAAGAATTTTCATGTGACTTCTGAAACCCTGTGGCGCCATTTTTCCATCATTAGGAAGGAGGCTCGTGAGATTGTTGTCAATTGTCAACATTGTTGTCAGTTTCTGCCTGCACCCCATTTTGGAATTAATCCTCCAGGCATTCAGCCCTTACAGGTTTGGCAGATGGATGTGACCCATGTCTCATCCTTTGGAAAGTTACAATATGTGCATGTATCAATAGACACCTGCTCTGGCGTTCTCCATGCCACACCACTCACTGGGGAGAAAAACTCCCACGTGATTCAACACTGTCTTGAGGCATGGAGTGCCTGGGGTAAGCCTAAATGTTTAAAAACTGACAATGGGCCTGCCTATACTTCTCAAAAATTCAGACAGTTTTGTGCACAAATGCAAATCACACATGTCACAGGCTTGCCATATAATCCTCAAGGACAAGGCATTATTGAGCGTGCACATCTCATACTCAAATCATATCTCCTTAAGCAAAAAGGGGGAATAATGATGGGTTTGCCCCCCGTGCCACGGGTGGCTATAGCAATGGCACTTTTCACCATGAATATTTTTAAACATGGATGAACATGGTCGGTCTGCGGCAGAGCGACATTGCTCAGACCCATGTCGACCTAAGGAACTGGTAAAATGGAAAGATGTGTTAACCAATGAATGGAAAGGCCCGGATCCTATTCTAATAAGATCCAGGGGAGCTGTTTGTGTTTTCCCACAGAATGAAGAAAATCCTTTCTGGGTCCCAGAAAGACTCACTCGGATGGTCCTGGAGCAGAAAGATGTGGAGACCCAAGGACAAGAAAAAGGGGAGCCGACTGCTCCCCCTGATGTCACTGATGATACTCAGCATCCCAGCTGTCCAAGGGGAGCCTCGTTGGGGAATCATGTCAACGTTCCCACTTCCAATGCTGGTGATGTATAATGCTCAGGTCTTTCCCTGATTCTTTGCCACCAATAGGGAGCTGGTTCTAGCCTTTTTGCCTAAGGACAGTTTCGGAGGCTCTGGATAAACAGACTTCAGCCAATACTCAAATTCAGGGGGGCTTGATGTTGGTGAACCAACGTATAGATTTAGTACAGGAACAGTTGGACATATTATGGCAATTGGCCCAATTGGGCTGTGAGCAGAAGCTTCCTGGTTTATGTGTCACCTCCATTCAATATGAAAATTTTACCAAAGCAGCTAATTTGTCTAAGAGCCTTTCTCAGTTCATGTTACAGAATTGGACCGCAGAATTTGAACAGACCCTCCGAGAATTGAGGACCGCTATTATCCAGATTAATTCCACCAGCCTCGATCTGTCCCTGACTGAGGGCCTATCATCTTGGATTGCCTCAGCTGTTTCCTATTTTAAGGAATGGGTGGGGGTGGGGTTATTCTTTGCAGCTATCTGCTGTGGTCTGCTGTTGCTTCTTTGGCTGGTTTGCAAAACTCAGGAATCAGGCAAAAAGAGATAAGGTGGTTATCGCCCAGGCACTTGCGGCACTTGATAGTGGAACGTCAGCTGATGTTTGGCTGTCTATGCTTAAGCAATAGGCCGCTGGCCAGATAGCTCTTGCACACCCGGAGCCTAGGCTCATTGCACAGGGTAGAGTGTCTGGCTTGAGCAGCCCATGAGGGATGTTGAGCAAAGCATCGCACAGAGAGTTGCTCAATAGGCAGGCCTCTCTGGGAGGCACGTTGTCCTGCATAAGCGTTGCCTGCCCTAGTTTCCCTTTCCCAGAAAAACGGCAGAAGACAGGTCGAGAGCGCCTCGGGTCAAGCTAACAGCCTGATGGTGACTCTTGTACACGGTCTTAATGTTTATTTGGGAAGGTACGACCTCTGCCTCTATCCCTCAACATATGGGTGACCTATTTGCTTGTGAAAATATAAAGCCTTATCATTAAATAAGAAAAAAGGGGGAGATGTAGGGAGCCATTCTCCATTACAAGATGGCACTGGCATCCGGCTGGCGGTTGGCATAAATAAGCCTGTGCGCGCGTGCAAGGAGATTTCTCTCCCGCGCCTCTCCCGTGGCGTCATTTCGCCTGATGAGCGAGCAACCAGTCAGGGAGTGACACTTCCTAAGCGAGGCTGAGTTTCTATATAAGGGTGTGGGTTTTTGCTCCCGGGGTCTTCGCTCTGCAGTTGGTGTAAGCTTATGCTCTGCCTCTCAAGAAGCATTAAAGCTATTATCGCAGAAGGATCCTATCTGTGTGCTGCGCCGTTCTTGCTGGCGAGACGGTAGCGCGGGACACCTCTCCCTCCCTTCCATCCTTCCTCCCCTCCCTCTCTCCCTCTCTCCAACACTCTCATGTCCCCAAAACCCCTCCCCTCCCATCCCCCTCCCACTCCACATGTAGGGTGATGTCCTCCAGGAGGGGTCATCTAAATCTGTCAAGTCATTTGGAGTAGAGACTAGGACTTCTCTCATATCTCTAGGTTAATGGAGGATCCCTCCATGGGTAATGTGCCTCCAAAGTCCTTTTGTGCACCATGTCTATATCCTGGTTCCATTATCTGAGGTCCCTTAGACTGCTCAGGTCTTCTAGCTGAGACCCAAGTTCAGAGGGTCTGAATCATTTCCATGCTGGATTCCCAGCTATCACTCTGGGGGCACATTAGCTCCACTTTTTATCAGATCAGCTGTCTCTGTTTCTACAGCCTGATCTTTTCTTCCTTCTTTGCATCTGGATTCCAGTTTGGCTCAGTGTTTGGTTGTGGGTGTTTGCTTCTGTTGCCATCAGCTACTAGATGAGGGATGCATGATGTTAGTAGGGCTTTTATGGCAGCATTTCCACTGTTGCTAAAATTGTTAGTTGGTGTCAGTCTTGTAGGTCTCTGGACATTTCTATAGAGTCAGTTTTCTCTTCAAACCTATAATGTCTCCCTCTTTTATGGTACCTCTCTCTATTTCTCTTGTCTATTGATCCCCAGACTCAATCTTCCTCTCCTCCACTTCTCTTTCTCCTAGCTCCCTCTCCACTTACTGCCCCCCTCCTTTCAATATACTCAGGGTATCTCTTTCCTTTCCCCTTATATGAGGGAACTTATATGAATCTCTAAGATTCCTCCTTGTATCCTAGTTTCTCTGGTGATATGAATTATAGGCTGGTGATCTTTTCCTCTTGTCTAAAATCCATATATGAGTGAGTACTTACCATGGTCCTCTTTTTCTCACTGGGTTACCTCACTCAGGATGGTTTCTTCAAGTTCCATCTATTTTCCTTCAAATATCAAGAATCAATTGTGTTTTA